ATGACCAGCTGTCAGAGTTCGAGAGGGGAAGAATTATCATGATGATGGAAGCTGGTTGGTCAGCTCGGTGCGTAGCTCGTCAAGTAGATCGTTCTGATTTGACTGTGAGGAAGCGTTGGGACCAGTGGGCAGAAAAGACGTCATTTATACGGTGACCAGGTTCAGGACGTCCTCGACAGACCAACAGTTCAGAAAACAGGCACGAGTAAAGACAAATGTCTCATTGGCCGCTGTCCTGACACAGGCAGCACCTTCACTACGGACCCCTGCGTCTTCCCGAACCATGTCAAGGTGCCTGACTAAAGGACATCTGGTATCCCGAGGCCCGTTAAGCGGGCTGCAAATGGCAACCACCGACGCCTCCGTTTGGAATAGTGACGCTCCAGACGGGTTTGGACTACGACGGAATGGAACTAGGTCGACTTAAGCGATGAATCTAGATTCAAGTTGAGAAGTGATGTGTGGAAGCCCCGTGGTGAACGTCTCAATCCTGCCTTCGCCTTACAACGACATACGGCTCCTAAAGCTGGTGTGATGGTATGGGGTGCCATTGCTTACAATACACGGTCACCTTTAATATTGAGGTATAGCACAATGGCAGTTCAGATGTACATCCATGACATCAATCAAACAAATGTGTTGCCACTCATGGAAGGGCTCCCAGGAACCATTTTTCTACAAGACAATGTTCGGCCACAAACAGCAAAGATATCGCAAGATTGCCTCCTCCACATTACAACCGTTCCCTAGCCTGCTGGATCTCTAGATTCCCCAGACTCGACCACAACATGTTTGAAACTGAGACGGACAGGAACACAAATATCCCACTCCACACCTTATACCGAATCCCTCCACTCCCCCGGAATGTCACTGCTACATGTTCAAAACAGGAAGTTCCTTAGTCAAACCTGTACAATAAATGATACATGAATGTAAAGAGAAATATACCAAGTCTTTTTTCCCAGCAGTAATCAATAGTACATTCAAGATTACTGCGACTTAAATCCAAACATGGCGACAATGACAGAGAAAATGTTTTGCATATTAGAGTATGGGTTTTTTTCAGTTGTGTCGGTGCAACGTTCATTTAGAAATTGCTACGGAAAAGCAGCAACAACCAACAAGAACCTTCTTATATGATACCATCAATTTAAGAAAACAGTTTGCTTGTGTAAAAAGAAAAGCAGCGGCAGGCCAAGTATCTTGGAAGAAGCATAGGAAAGGGTAAGAGAGAGTTTTGTTTGAAGTCTACGAGAGGTGTCGCCTTGGAACATAAAACGCCCCAGAAAATGGTATGCGCGCGCGGAAAATTTTGCGAAAAAGATTAAATTTAAAGCTGCATTATTTGCAATTGATGCAACACATAACAGAGGAGGATAAGCAAACATTTGTACAACATTACAAACCATTGATAGAATGATGCTACAAAATGTATGGAATGAACTGGATTATACAGATTGAAGGTATGCCGTGAAACAAGAGGGACTCTCATCGAACATTATTGACTGAAAAAAAACTTGCTATATTTTTCTTAAGATCCATGTATCATTTATTGTAATATGTGTAGTAGTTCCGTTGATATGATTTTATTAAAAATAGGTTCCATCATTTGTTCTCACCCTGTATAGTGTGAAAATTTATAGAAAAAGCGTCATATTTGAAATTTGACAGTTTCTAACAAATAATATGGTTTGTTTCAGGATATATTATCAATGCGTCATTTTAAATCGAAAATGTAAAACTCCATGAAATAGTAATTTAAAGACAGGAAAACTTCATTTCGTTTTTAAATTGAAACATCTATAAAATATTTATATTTATACAAATAAATTTGTCATTTATTTTTGTTTTTGCTATTAATGAATAGGTACCTGTATGTATTTTTTTTGATAAATTATTACCTACAAAGTTGTTTCAAACAGTAAATAATTTTTGTTAAGGTATCCGACTACGTTCAGTACCGTGATTTTGCAGAAGCTTATAAATGGAAAATATTTATTATATTTAGTGTCACTTAGATAAGAAAACGTATATAAAATTGCTTTAAGAATATTATTACAATAAAAAATTATTTAATTACAATATCTTGACAAAAAATGAACATAGAATGACCCATTTTCAAAACACATTCTCCTTTTATGAAAAATGCTTCTATTATAATAATATTTTGCTTGTATATAGCTCAGACCTCTGTGCAGAGGCTCAACTATAATTTTTGAAATGTATAACTTAGAAGTGGATTTATCTATATTTTACTACAACAGAGGGGAGAAATTTTAAGAAAAAAACGTCGATAATTATTTCAGTTGGTGGTAAATGAAAATAATGTGAATTTTTCAAAATTCCTATTTCAGACATCCCGAAGAAGACTTTACTTAATATAAGCAAAATAGTATTATTATAGAAGCATTTTTTTTATAAAAGGAAAACGTTTTGAAAAAAGGTTATTCTAAGTTAATTTTTTGCCAAAATATTCTGTTTTTAAATAATCTTTTTTGTCATAATATTCTTAAAACTATTTTATACATGTATTCTTATCTAAGTGACACTAAATATCATGAAAATTATCCATTCATGCGCTATTTTAGAATCACGGTTCCGAACGTAGTTGGATACCTTAACGTTTGCCTACAAATTCACGTTTCTTAAAGCAATATAAGTTATATGGAAATGTTTAAAAACGAATCAATGCTTCATAAAATATTACGGAGAATTTCTTTCCTTTTGATCAACTTTTTCTTAAAGATTAAATTTTTTTTACTACCGAAAACTATTTTGAAAACTTTTTGAATCCATGCTAATTTGATCATTGTGGAAACCAGCATTTTGGTTTTTTACCATTGTGTGTGTTTGTTGTCATTGGTTAACATTTTAGTGCTTTCCACTTAACTCATACATTGTTAAATTCTCTTGATTCAATAAGAAAAATATATTTTAGTCAATAAAATATTTAATACAGCTATCTTTTATATGTTGAAATATTATTCAGTAAATTTTCTTGGTAAATAACATTTATTTTTTTTTTCCTTTTCAGGTATGATTGATTTCTTTCTTAATTTCTAAGTATTTATTTAAGGTGAGTTTTTATGAAACATTTTTTTCTATCCTTTTTTAAATTGCATAAATTTCTTTAAACTTTTTATTAAATTAAAGAAGAAATAATTTTTGTTTATTTCCAAAGAAGTATATTATGAAGAAAATATTTTAAACATAGTTATGATTCCTCTTTTTCTAGCTTGTATAAATTAACTGTAGCTTAAGTAATCATTACTTATTTTACTTAAATTCACTACTGAATGGATTTAAAACTCATTAAGTAATCTCTCTAAAATCATTTTTTTCAAAAATGAAATATTTGTTAAAAAAGGATAGAAGTAGACTGTAAGAAAGAAATTCATAGACGTGTTTTAAAATATCTAAAATATAATTTAATCTATTTAAGGTATCCCATTACGTTCAGAACCGTGATTTTGCAAAATTACATAAATGGATAATTTTCATGATATTTAGTGTCACTTAGATTAGAATACATGTATAAAAGTATTTTAAGGACATTGTGACAAAAAAAATAGTTAAATACAATATTTTGGCAAAAAATTAACTTAGAATAATCTTTTTTCAAAATGCTCTCCTTTTGTGAAAAATGCTTCTATTATAATAATATTTTGCTTGTATATGGCTCAGACCTCTCTACAGAGGCTCAACTAGACGTTTTGAAAATTTCACATTATTTTCAGAGTTACCACCAACAAATAATTATCTGCGTTTTTTTCTTAAAATTGCTCCCCTCTGTTTTCGTAAAATATGGATAAACCTACTTCTAAGTTATATATTTAGAAAATTCTAGTTGAGCCTCTGTAGAGAGGTCTGAGCTTTAGACAGGCAAAATATTATTATAATAGAAGCATTTTACACAAAAAGAGAACATTTTGAAAAAAGATAATTCTAAGTTAATTGTTTGCCAAAATATTGCATTTAAATAATTTTTTTTTGACAGTGTCCTTAAAACAATTTTATACATGTATTGCAACCTAAATGATACTAAATAACATGAAAATTATCCCTTTATGCGCTTTTTAAAACCACGGTTCCGAACGTAGTCGGATTCCTTAAGTACGTTCATACATCTTACTCTAGCTTTGTAGTATTTCATTTCACACTTTTAGAATTAAAGTAGTTGAAATTATTTTGGGTAAAAATTGTTTATAAATATTAAATTGTGTATTGCACGCTGTATTTCCAAAACTGGAATGCAGATACCGCCACGTTATGGACAGAGTTGTAATAGTAGCGTGAACTTGCAACACAATTCTTTTAACCTTGAGAGAGGGCTTGAATATCAATGAGGACTCCCACCTCGCTGTGCAATCCTGGATTACATTTCAGCTATCTTGCTTTAATTTGTTTTTCCAAAGATTTACCTTTGCTTATCTTGTAAAATCAAAGTATGCATCGTTTGTAACTGTGCAATTTTTATTTTATTTTAAATGCATTATTTTACACCGAGATATTTTTCTCATTACTTTGTCTTAACCCAGTAATGGCGTAATGCACCGTTACAACTGTAAAATAGTTCACAATGTGCGTTAATCAGTTAGAGCCTTTTGAATATAGTATATAATCTACGAATCTGTCCACAGGCAAAAATATATAACGCATATAAATTACATACAAAAATATGCTGAAGGAAGTGAATTCAAATCCGCGATATATACATTAACATATCTTGATTTAAGATAATGTGAATATTTTTAGATTCTTCTCAAACATGCTGTTTTTAAACAAATATCAACTATTGTTTTTGCCATGCGTTTCATCCTGGGATACATACAAAAGACGAGAGATAGAAAAATACAGTACAATCACAGAAAAACCGCCTATTTTATTACAAATGCTGAATAAACAGATGGTATATATCAGTAGTAAGGGCGCTGCTTTCCATTCGAGACAGGAGTCCATTTCAGGCGAAAGTCCGATTTCTTTTCCCGAAGATACATTCTTGTCTTATTCGGGGTTCGAACCCGAACCCACTCGGTTACAAGCCGAGTGTCATATTCATCAGACTGGCTGGGCGGCAATGTTAACTGTTAGTAAATATATGTAAATGAAAGGTTTTCGCTTATAAATGAATTCATAAGACACCATGTTAAGAAAATAAAACCGATTTCTTATGAAAAGATCATCAATAATGCTAGACAGAGAGATTGTCTTATAGCTTTCGGGAAATATCGTGATAAATGGCCTTATCGATCGAAATATTTATTGAAGAAATTATGTTACTCCCCGGAAGTACACTCTGAGGATGTTCAATAACATGTTATGAATATCTGCTTTTACCTCCAACTTTGACACAATGAGTAAAGAGAGATTTATTTATTTTTCATTGAACTCTTACAGATCTTTTGTTTTTTATCACGCATTTTTTAATTAAAAGATAACTTTATTTTAGTAATTTTTAAGGGTCAACTTTTTCAAAATATCCGACTACGCTCGGAACCCCTGGGTTGTCTTAAGGTATAAGCCAACTGGGCCCGGAACCAGGAGTTCACTTTCGTTGGCGGCCTCGTTTCGTTCTTGACTCGATCTTAAAAAGGTCAGGACATGGATAATTTCAATGGTTAAATGTTATTTCCGTACATATATTCTCCGAAAAATAGGGAATTTCAAACTGCATGCCAACTGGCAAAAGTGGTAAGACCGTATTATTGTGATAACCGTTGTCAATGTGTAGGCCTGGGACAGATACCATAAACAATCATTCAACTAATTTAGTCAAAACTCGGCCATCGGTCGAGTCCGTTTGTGGGATTGAGTCGTGTGCACATTCATTTGTTTCAAGTTAGCGTTTGTGCGAGTATTTGCCAATACATGTTATATACTGTCTACTTTTAAGAATTACAGGTACAGCCTACTTTTGCTTAGGGACCCAGGTCCTCAAAATATTTTAAGATTGCTCTGGGCACAGGGCCTCAAAGTGTCTTAAGACGTCCCTGTCTGGGATCTGTGATTTTACAAAAGCGTACAGACGAATATTTTTTTAAATATTTAGTGTCACTAACATTAAAATACACGTATAAAAATTGTTTTAAGATTATTATTAGAATAAAAAAAATATTTGAATGCAATATTTCAGCAAAAAATGGACATAGAATTTACTATTTTCAGAACATAATCTTTGTATGAAAAATGTTTCTGTAATAATAATATTTAGCCTATATATAGTTCAAACCTCTGTGCAGAGCCTGAACTAGGAGTTTTGAAATATATAACTTAGAATTAAAATTTATTCATATTTTAAAAGGGGAGAAATTTTAACAACAAAAAAAACCCGATAATTATTTTAATTAGTGGGAACTCTAAAAATAATGGGAATTTTTCAAAAATCATAGTTCAGGCTCTCTGGATTCTTAGCTACACATAGGCAAAATATTATTATTATAGAAGCATTTTTTATGAAAGGAGAATGTTATGAAAATAGGTAATTCGAAGTTCAATTTTTGCTAAAAGATTTCTTTTAAATAATTTTTTATTGTAATAATATACTTAAAACAATTTTATATGTGTATTCTAATCTACTTAACTGAACTCAATGGCGCAACAGCTCATAAAGGGCAAGGCTTACTGTGCCTGTCTCAGTTTTCGTGACCTTAGACACTGGTGCATGTGCAGATGTTACAGTCAAGTGGTCAGTATGCCGCAAAATCCCCATTCAGTTCCTAAGCAAGCTTGGGACTCTTTTTTCGACCCACCGAAGAGATAAAAGTCCGAGTCGACCTTGCCCAGCCCAGGATTTGGAGCACGGAACTATGGCGTGGAAGCGCTATACACTACCACTCAGCCACTGGGCTTCGTATTCTAATCTAAAAAAGTGACACGAAATATTAAAAAATATTCATTTGTAGGCTTTGTCATAATCACGGTTTTGAAAGTAATTGAATAGCTTAAGCTCTTTTATCTGTTATTCGCAACAAAATGTTTTAAGTACATATTTTATATGTTTGTCCGTTTTACTAAAATATTCAAAATTTGATGTACCTGTTATTTTATCACCAGATTTTTGTGACAATTTTGTGTTCCTCGTCAAAAGCCATAGTATTTTGATCAACGGGATTTCACATCAAAGAGGGAAAAATTCGTTTCTATATTTTTCATCCCCTGTCACAATTTGTTCATTGTTGTTGACTTTTTTTTTCTTCTTTTTTACCTGGAAAGCATTCAACTTTCTAGAGAAATTCAATATTTTTATCCGTTTTTCGATTGTTGTCTGAAAAAACTTGAATACATTAGCTCTTTTGGCAAGACTAGATTTGAAGGCTTGATCAAGGGCTCCTTCTTCACAGAGTGAAAGATGTCCACACCTTTCCTGATCTTGACAGCTTCTATTTACATCCTAACTGTACATCAGAGTGTATAGGAACATTTTTTTCAGAATTTCAAAATCTACCTATGCTCTAAGAAAAGATTTTCTCTGGTTTATGGATAAAGATAAAAATAAAATAAAAAATTAATTTTTGTATTATTGTCACAAGGGAAAATAAGTTCAGGTTTTTTAAGTTTTTTATAATCAAATGTCAAAGTAACCTTTATTAAAGAGAACATATGTATTTTAGAACTTTTTATCATGCATTTCAATGAGAGGACATGTAGTAAATAGCTGCGAGAACAAACATCAGATATATTTAACAGCTTTTTTAATATTAAAAAAATTATAAGAATATACTTCCAAAATTACAACGTTTGATAAACAGGAAGATGGTAAAAAACTTAAATCGAACTGATTCGACAGTGCGTGGGAGAGAGAGCTGGGGTTATGAAATGTGTTGTAAAGCAAATTGTATCTCATTCATTACTCAGAACTCATTTAACAATAAGTATAGTGTTTATTTTGATGTAGAAAAATAATTTTATTTTGAGACTAAAATTATCCAAACAAAATTCTTTACAAGTTTTTTGTTTCCTTTTTTTTCAAAAGTACAATTCCTTTGTAACAATACTAAATTTTAAAATAGTTATTTTTGGAAATTTTTCTCCTAATCTCCATGCAATAAAACAGCTTTTCCGCATAGATAGGTTCAAATAAATAGTTATTTTTCTCCATAGAGCCACGATCCACACTAGTGTACATCCTCAGAATATAATTTGGAGTATATTGCAGCATATGCCATACGTTGCAATACTTCCTTTGTCAAATTTCACAACAATGCCCATGTTCCACGTATATTTTATCCTTTCCCATAATACAGTGCATCGAGTGTTTGTACAAAGAAAAAAAAACTGTATTACCAGGAAAATCTGAATTTATATAATGGGTATTTTTATGGTAAATTGTGGCCTATGTATAAGGGGTGTTCAATTGAAAGTGATTCGAAGTTAGTATCCATGAGATGCATATAATCAGAAATGAGACAGATATAGAGATAGAAACAACAATATTTAACAAGTACAATGCATACAAAGTTTGTTAAAAGAAATAACCCATGGTGTTTAGGCTGGCGTCTCATTGCTTAGGAAGGTTACGAATTCCATCCGCGAAGAACAATGTCGGTTGATGATGGAACCAGTTCAGAACTGCAGCCTCTACCTCATCGTCGGAGTGAAAACGTTGACCCATTAGGCCGTCAACATCACCTTTCCGGCTGACTGCTGAGGTTTGAATTTTTAGAGCCTATGTGAGTCGAGATGTTTCCATTGCATGCTGACGGACTTCCAGCATGAAGTGGTGACACCTCATTTCATTCTCTGGCGCAATGTGTTGCACAAAGTCATCACCGTCATCCATGTAGCGCAACAAATGTTGTAAATTCAGGCCCATTCTGGCTTACACCTTTCCAACGTTAAAAACTTTATTAGGGCTTGTTAATCCGTTTCGGATGCAGTTGCATCCATACCAGCCATTTTTAAACGAATGCCACGTCCTTACGAATGCAGTTATCACAAATCTGTTTGTGCACGCGTCTGAGTGATACATGCACCTTCACTATCACGTTTGTTTCACGAAAATACATTGAAAAATGTTCGCATGTGAAGAATCGAATACGTCTAACATAATTATATGTAACAACTTAACCCGTTCAGGACCATAATCACATATATGTGATCACACGTTTCTCCCTCCACGGTATCATGTATGTGATTGAGCTTTCTCTTCTCGTAGGCCCATGATCACACCGGTGTGATCAGAGTTAGAAACGTTTTTATATTAATTTTTACAAGCACTAGATGGCGGTTAAAAATCGTTTTCTTTTAATAATGTTTTACAAAAATTTAAACTTCAATATGTGCTTTCGGCTCCGTGTTTTTTTTATTAGATTCGAGATATTTATGAATATAAACACTGCATATGTTTAGGTTTTTAGAGAGAATCGGACATTTAAAGGTTTGTGATCTATTGCTCTATGGATATCTTTTTATATTTTGAATAAGTTTTTAAATATTTTCTATATCCGTAAGCGAATATATGGGATTTTTGTCAATTTTTTTGAAAGTGTATGTAATTTGGTTTTATTAAAATAAAAACATTTTCTTTAAAATTCGCAATTGTTTTTTTAAATAGAGCGAAAATTTTTGTACTCTATACTCAGATATTACTAATGATAGTAAATTGTAAGTTTTAGCGTATTTGATTGCATTTAAAACTTTATATGAATTTTTAAAGGAAATTATATATATATATAGGCTTAGCATTGAAATTTACCCGGTCCCGTGCCTGCGTATCCTCTCCGAGAGTACGGGCCTGGGAAGTGCTTCTTTCTCCTTTCGCTGGTCCTGAAGGGATTAATATGGAAACAATGTGGTTTATAATTGTCCTTGGATCAAGAACCACCAAGTATATTCAGGTCTCCTCTATAGCCTACTTGTCAAGATTCACGGACTCGTGGCTGGCATGTCATGAGTTCGAGCCTAGTATCACTGAAGACCCACGGTGCAGAGTGGGCCGATGTTCGTTAAATAGGTCGCGAGTATCAAACATTCTTCCGTAGGAGGAGTGGGGGTCAGTTAGGCTCAGGGGTCATGTTAGTCACTTGACCATGGTTCAAAATTACGTGTCTGTCACCCATAGCCTTTGTG